ATTAAATATATTTATTTAATTGCAAGTTAATATGTAAAATTTTATGTAATTATATTTTAATTTAAATGTATCAAGTTGATGTATCATTCTCAATAAGATGACTAATAGTTTTATATTAATAAAACTTGATATTTTATATTTCTATAATAACAATTAAGATTCAGTATTTTATCATTTTATAATATCATCAATTTGAGTTTTTTTTATTTGTCTTTCAATTTTATAGTTATAATAAAAAATAAATAAAATTCCATTTTTCAAAGCTTATTACATTTATAGTAAACATATATAAATCCATCAGCCTTTGATATGAGTTTTATGATTCAATAAGTGATAAGTTTATTTCATTCATTTTTGTTACTTATTTCAATGTAATTGAAGAAAAAATTAATAAAAAAAAACAATATTTATATTTAAAACTTGTGAACATAGTTTTGCATTGTCAAAATCTTTATAAGAATCCAAAAGGTCTAATAAGATATTGACAAGTTGATCTTGGATATAAGCAAGATTTTAATGTTAATTAATTTTTTCTTTGATGTTTTCTTTTGCCATATTTTGGTTTGTGTTACTAATCAAGTTCTACACTTGCTATATGATAAAACAGTTTTTCATTTTTTCTGATAAAGTTTTCCTTTGTGTAATGACTTCTGCAGCAATTGCATTTTTTCTTTTCATGATTAGTATCTGTCATATTTGTATGTTAAATAAAAAAAAAATACATAAAAAAGAAAAAGAATGCAAAAAAAAGAAAAAGTACACAAGACAAAGAACACAGAAAATCTAATCAATTTACTTCTATATATCATTTTATTTAGTGATTAATTTAATGATAATAACGTTAGAAATGCACTGATTAATTTAATGAGCATCCAAGTTGATCACGTGATTTGCGAAATTTTTTTGCCTGGTGATAATAGTCTCATAGTAACATTGCCTAGAGATGGTAAAAAAAATCATTATTACTAGTTTAAAACATGTGATGTTTATTGTTTAAATATGCGGTTTCTAAATTTAAAATTATTCAGATCATAATCATCACATGTTTTCAAACGGTTTTATCATCCCTACCGCTACGTATAGAGATGTGGTCTGTTGATCTGCAATCCGAATATCGTTCAAAATCCGGATTTTCTTGTAATCCGTATAATCCGGATTTTTCTTGTGTAATTCGTTCAATCTGTATGTGAGTTGCTGATAATCCCGTTCAATCCGTTCGATCATTTCAATATGCTTAATCTGTTCAATCCTTTCAAAATATGCGGATCGCTGATCGTCTGTTCAAAATATGCAGATTGTAGATCAATCCGTACGGATAAGGATTGAAGAATATTCATCCGAATTTGAACGGATTACACCTCTACCTACGTATGCCGATGTAATTTTTCTAAAGCGTACGTATATACGTACGTACGTTCTAATTTATTTCACATTAATATTGTTGCAATTGTCTATACTATTTATGAAAAAGTGGTGATTATAAATAAATAGTTTGATATTTTCATTCAACGATTAATATCCAATATTGATGCTATCGTCATGATTTACAACGTAATAACGTACGAAAAATACCAAGGAAAAAAGGTTGACTTTTAGTATAAGTGGGAGCATATAATTATTATACAATTATAATATTTAAATATTAGCCATTTTGAACCAATTTAAAGATGTTTATAAATAATTAGAGTCTATATATTATAATCATTTATTCTATATATGGGGGTGAGTCAATAGAAACGCACCAAATTTTTTCTAAGTAAATTTTTTTGAAACTTTAAGCTTAAATAAC